CTTTTTATTAGAAATGCATGAAGTATTTTTTTGCCGAAGGTTATTAAAGTCTATATGTGTTTTGTTTGTTTTTTTCCTGCTCCTCAAAACCTGGCCTGCTTAATACGAATTTATTATAAATTTATAGACAAATGAATCATATTTGCGGTGGAAAAGTATTAAATTTCCATTTCTTAATATATATTATGCTGAACCTATGAGAAAATATTGATGCTTCTACGCTCGAAAGATATGAGAATGAACATAAATCGCAATTTTTGGAAGAAGTTCATATATTTTATTTTGAGAACTTCTTGATAAATAATATATCGAATGCCCTAGATTAGAAAGAAAACTTTTCTCGCTGAATTCGCCTTACTTGTCACGTCGTTTACGTTAGTTGTAGATTCTAACTTTAAACACGTAGTATTGATCTGTCGAACTCAGTTTATAGGTGTCTCTAACCCTGTGTCCTATATGAGCGTCGACGAGCAACCGGCACGTCTAGCGTGGAGAATCTTAAAACAAAGGAATACACTTACTTAACATGTTTTCTTAAATTCATATTCAGAAACTATGCATCGCAATTAATGTGCAACGAATCAGATTTTTTTTTTTCAACAATTCCTCAAAATAATGAAAACGGATAGCAGGTAATCGCCCGATAGCACGTTGTGACGTCATACCACATTAGCGACAAGCCCATATACCTGTCTGGGTCTCGTACATTATATCGTCCCTGTCCTCATGTAATGACGTAAATAGATGATGACGTTTTTGCTAAACGCATAAGTGGTGCAAGAAGGGGTAAGTAACAAGTAACTTGTCCCGCTCTTGCGCTAGTTTATAACACAGGACAAGTGCTTTTATCTTATAGTTCAGTGTCTACTAAGTCTACAGATTCTTAATTTGCAAAAAAAAAAAACTTAAATTATACCACAAATAAATAATATGAGAATAGCTAATAACGCATAGAGCAGTCTGGTCGAGTGGTGTGACGTCACAAATGTTCTGCGAGCCCATTGTATACCCTGCTTCCGTGTGACCATCAAAATATTTGGTAAAACCGCTTTTGCCACTCCAAACTACAAGCTCACGTGGGACACAGCATCCCCAGTGTGATGTAATCTAATATTTTGAATGGACTGCTTTCAGGTTGTCTCTAGGGTGTTCCAAACAGCTCTAAGTGCTTTGCCAGTCACATTCTAAACTTAGGTAAGACAGTATGATATAATTTTTTAATAAATGTCATTTGATGTAAATCGGTCGTGTGATTAAATTTAATATGTATGAGCTTATATTTAATAAGTCTATACCGCATTTCGTATGTTAATTATAACTTCGAATACCATCTCCAATATAAGTTACAGGGTTTTCGAAAATTGTGATCTAAGGTCAGGATCACTAACAGCTGTTTTCAGATTTTAAAAATGTATTTGTTTATGGAAACAGGGAGAAATCGTCTGATTTTATAACTTCTATTAAAATGGTCATTGTTATTTATTATCATGAATTAAAGAGTGAACAAACCAATGAATTGTCTAAATTTTAAGGTTAGATAAAAACAGCTGATTCATTCATCCCAAAGTGTGTCGGATTCAAAACATGTGATTAAAATCTGATTAACTCGACCTCTTTCCGAACGATTTTTACGTTTAATTGGTTCCATTTCCGAACGACAGGATCACTGATCCTTAAAATCGAATTAATCTGATCACAATTTCCGAAACGCGCTATAATTTCTTTCAAGAAGAAAACGTAATTATATGGCATGGCATCTTTTCAGGGGACCTTTTTTTAAATAAACGACAAGCCACGAACTCAAATAAAATATTACCGTATATAGTTTTTTAGTTTCGCTAATAAAGAAGTTATAACTGAAAAATAAATATTAACTGAGTTACATAACCTTAAAGTTATTCGTTTTAATTTTGGGTTAAATTGAAAAAAGTAAAACAAATATTTTCCAATTATGTGTAAAAAAATAAACTACATTAAAATCTATGCTTGCCTTCGGGTCTGTTTTAGAATAACTCTTATTGGCGGCATGCACAATGGAGCACAAGACCAAGTGTTGCGGCATACAGTAACATTATATATTGTAGTTGTACTTACAATAATTACAATAATTGAAAAAAAATTGGTTGCATTCCAGTGATTATTTTTGGTATAACTATATTAAATACTAATCGATTTCATGATTTTCATGTAGTTGTTTAACGTTGTTTATTGTGCTACACATGTTTTAAAAATCTTTGTTTTAGTGTTTGATTATATACTGTAGTTTCTTTTTTTCCTGATTATGGCATAACAGCCGAAACTAATTAGAAAGGAAAATAAATGCTTATACTGAATTAAAAAGGGACACTAATTTACTACATTAGTAGGTATTACAAAGTATTTTCTTCAAGAAATAAAAAATTATTATTGTTAATTAGATTTTTTCATATACCTAATGCTTTTCCAGGCACAACTGTCCAGTTCTGTCTTCAGGAAAAATAGTTTCAATTGCTGTTACAACTCCAAGGAAGAACGTTGTGTTTCAACTTTTTTTTCTCTTATCGTAAAATTGTATTGTCTTTTTACTTTATGTTATAGTCTTTTAAAGGGATTCTTATATATTTTTTTATCTACAATAAAGTTTTATTTTCAGTTAGTAGTGCTTTATCTGTTTACTTCAGACCCGAGTAAAATGAAAAGTAAATAGCCTTTGTGCGAAAAATGTACGTTTCACGCATTTAGGCGTTTCCTTGGGTAATTAATTCCAACTGAATCTAAACCATCAAAGAAAGGACCGTAATTAATTGTAAGACTAAGATAATGAAATTTTGTTTCCATTGTTTACAAACAACACCGTTTACTAAACAGAAACGTACCTGGCGTTCTCTTATCTGGAAATGGGCTAATGAAGAACGAGATGCCAAACAATGGATTGCGGGTTATATAACGCTTATATTCGGGTGGCGAATAGATAAAGCTTTGTTTTCCTCCACGATGCGAAATTGAAAATCTTTTTGTACGTCACTGATTTTAAATCTACTTGTAAATGTAGTGCGATATATTATACGATGTGTGATTCATCTCATTTGTAACATTGAACTTACAGGGTGTCACAAAATAATTCCATATGCCTTTTGTCATTTAGGCACCTCTTTTTTAATACAGGGTGTCGCATCTAAAAATATACTAAAACTAATGACTTGTTTTTTTGATACAGTCGTATTTCAGTGGAATGCATAGAATCATACCGGAACACTGTTTGCATTTTGGCTAAAAAAATCTAAGTACGATGAACGGATAAAAGTAGGTTTGTCTCCCTAACTTTTCCCAATGCACGCCTATGATTCAAGGGCTGGTTTGTATATCAAGGCGTCCTTCAATTTTTTTCACTCTAATCAAATATGTTAGAAAATTTATAGTTTAACTTTCGTAATCGTCAAACTAAGCCCTAAATTTTGCAATAAACTGCTCCAATACGCAAAACATTTAAAAGTAGGCAGAGCAATAAGTAGGTACTGCAATTCCCTTTCTTCAGGTCGTACTTCAATTTTTTCAATCAAAATTGCACAAAACATGTAATAGTATTGAATAAAAGCCCATGTTATTTCAATAAAATACATATATTAAAAAACAACACTTTAATAAAAACTTTTTTTTAAATGTGTCAATTCTTTTCGACTAAAGAATTTATGGTAAACAATTGACCTACTTTTTGTAACACCCTGTATAATATATGTTAGATGTTCAATGTTCATGTGATGATAAAGGTGGTGATTTTAAGAAATGGCAACACAAGGGTATATGGTATTATCGAAAATCGTAATAATTGTCTAAATCTAATCAATTTACACCGTTTTTTATGAAGAAAGCAAAGAATTAGGTCTTTATTATTGTTATATTATACAAGGTGTCCCGAAATTAATGCAACAAAATTTGATTACATATTCTTAAGACAAATTTAGGGAACCCATATTTTTTATTTTTGCCAAGTGCCCCCTCTTTCGGAGTTACAGCCCCCTGAAATTCGACCCTAAGAATAATCTCATTTTTATATCTCAGAACCCTGTTGTACGAGAGTCACTAAATTTGGTACACAGGGGTTTTATGATATGTGGAATCTGATGGTTCTACGCTTTTTTGCGGGGAAGCCCCTTAAGACAATTTTTCGTGGACCCCCTTGACTTTGGAGACAAAAAAATTTGGTCGCATATTTAAATTTATTAAAAATTATTAGTCCGCTAGAAAGCCATTAAAAGAAACTTCTTTGTCTCTTGATACTTTTTTCGTAAAACGCAATGTTTTCAAGAAAAATGACAAAATGTGATCGAATTCATATCGTGATTCGCCATTTTCCTCAAAAACATTGCGTTTTACGAAAAAAATATCTGGAGACAAAAAGTTTCTAAATTCAATGGCTTTCTGGCTAACTCATAATTTTAAGATACAATACTACTCCCCCAATAACTACCTACGTCACTGGAGTGTAAGTATTTTGGAATAAGTTATCCATGAAAAAATAGTCTCCACTAAAAAAAAATGTCATCCAAATTTTATGACTAAATATTTTTGCCATTGGAGTTACAGCAAAAATCATAAATATTTGAAACTCGTAACACCCTGTATCTCCGTAGGAGAGCGTCCTATCAAAAATTTTTATTTTCATCGGTAGAATATGCCATTAAAGTTTGGCAAAACTTATAATTATCACCCTGTATAACTTTATTTAAATAGTAAATTATTTTCAATGAATTGTTACGTACACTACCATCTTCCGGTAAAATACAGAATTATAGTCTTTTCGAGTACCTTTAATGCAGATTTCTGTTAATTATAAATTTTATTATTTTCAACATTACCGGCAGCTATAAAAAGTATGATAAATTTACATTATTTGAAATCATTTGGAGATCATGGTCCCTAATTGTTTATTTTATTTATATTGTAATTATTATATTAGACAAATTAAAAGTAACTTATTAAAATTACTTCCTAAGAATCTCTTTAGTATCAGGGGGCGTAGCTCAGATGGTAGAGCGCTCGCTTAGCATGCGAGAGGTACCGGGATCGATGCCCGGCGCCTCCAATATTTTTTTTATTCTAAAATGGAATATAAAAACGTATTAAAATTAGTATTAACCGAGTAAAAATAATACTGTTTTCGGAAACAATATGTGTCGATTATTTGAACTACACTACTGGAAAAAATGGATCTAAAAATTTTCTTAAATTTTTTAATTCGTTTCGAAGTGAAAAATGGTCGTGTTGATTTAATAAAGAATCATTTTGACGCTAGTTTTTTTGTAAATATTTCTAAACCAGTGATAGATTTTCTAAAAAACTAAAGTCATTGTTTGCAGTTTTTTCAAATTAATGTCAGAGATGAAAAAAAAATGTTTTCTTCGAAAATCATAACAGGTCACTGTAGAGAATTTATTCAAGTTTCCAAAACTCTCCTTGAATTTACTGTGCAATAATTTCTTGCAGGGATATCGATGATTAAAGACAAAAGTGTTATTTTTCATTTAATCATCAAATTGATGTTGAATAAATAAGCTAACCGACCTCTGTATCGATTGAGTTTGAAAAACTTTTCATAAGTCCGTGGACAGACCTAAAAAAAAATTGGGAAGATTCTTTTCTCGCGGTATTTTTTTTGATTATTCGATAACCCTAGCTCAAAAAAAAAATTGTCTTGAAACTAGAGATTTAAACCTTCAAAATACTTTTTTTATCATCTCGATACGGCAATTTTTCACTAAGATCCTTCAGAAAATCACTAAACAAATTAATGAAAATTTGTTGTTCCTTTAATGTTTTCCAGTAGTGTATATACGTATGAGAAGGAATAAAATAAAAATGTTACCTTTAAGTGAACTATAAATTATTTGAATCCAGTATTACCTGAAAAGAAAAACAGAATTAGAACATAATAATATATTTGAGACACGTAAATAAAATTGAGTAGTCCACGGGGCAAAGTGAGCATTTCCAGAGGTCAAAAAGTAAATATACATAGGTTCATAGACACTTCACCTTTTTATTCTCGACAGGACATTTTCAAACTGTTATATCTTCGTAAGAAATCGTCCTAGTTTATTTGAACTTTTTCTTTTAATTTTGACCAAGGAAAACCCTCTAGATACTTTAGAAGTTTACCTGCCGAAAATTGCAATTTTTCAGGAAATTCGTACATACAAATGATTCGTCTTTGACGTCAGTAACCATAGGCGGGGATGGGGAAATAATTTTTTAGACGGGGTCTCTATATTTTATTATTTTCTTTAAAAATGATGGTTGTTTTTATGGAAAAAAATATTTTGTTGAAATGTTAACCGCAATTACAAAACACACAAACATTTTACCGATTTTTTTGTCAGTAGTTGAATTTGTTTAAGGGATGATACATGTGATATATGTATGTACCAATATAGTAAATGAATCAATAGTAGACACTTTCTGTATTATTAATCAGAAAAAGGATTACACACAATTAGTACATTCATTGATAATTTTACAGGTACTTTTATTATTTATTTTTATATATTATTATGTATGTACACATACATGAAGTATAGTCCTTCCGAAGTCAGTTGAATATGCAAAAAAACGTCTGGTAATAAAATTTAATTAGTTTCATAGGCGTCCCTAAAAAAAATTTCTGCTAAAGGTAAAAAATTATAATAATTTGTATATAATGTGTAGAAAATTTCTATTATATGTTCATTTGGCCAACAACATATTTTAATTATTAACGTCCTCAAACAATTTTATTATATTGGTGGTAAATTTTGTTTTGTTCCGTTTCAAAAGGTCTCCAAAATGCCATGTTGCGATAATATTAGTAAACAAAATATCCCTCTTATTTCTCCCTTTAACAATTGTAATATGAATGATTGATAGATGGTGCCTATAATAAATTAAAATTGCCTGATTCACACCAAATTCCGCACTGCAGCACTGCACTGTTGGGCAATTTATGATCCACCTGTCGCCTGCTGTGATTTATTGCCAGAAGCCCAATACCGTTGTGTTACATTTCGTTTGCCCGCGCTCGCATTCTTCAACTGGTCGTATACATTTCTACCACCTGCACGATAAGTATGGGTATAGCTAAATAAATATGGGAACAAATTTTTCAAATGTTTCAATGCCGAGTTGCTGCTTAGCGACCGAGCCTGGTCCATAACATACCTTGAAATTATAGGTTCTTCAATTGACTTCGGAAAAACTATACACACCATTTGTTAAAAACGGCTCAGTGCCATCTGATTGGTCGTTGCGTCAATAAAGTGTGATATTTGTTGCGTATCATCATTTATGAAGAGCGGCACAAAATTTTAAGCATCTTTAATGCATTAAATATACAGGTATACTGGATTCCATCGTTAGCTACCGAAGAAAAATAAAATATTCACAACCAAAAACAATTTTAGATATTTTCAGTATTATGTCAATTTCATGTCAGATTTTCTATACTATACTATACTATACCATACTATACCAAGCTAGCGCCTCAAACTAACCTCTCGTCCAACCTCCAGCTAGACCTGCTGATGTCGCTCCAAGCGCTCATGCTCCTGTTCCTCCTGGGCACGAACATGGACCTGCTAGGCCGCCGGTCTAGCATCTCCGGGGGGAAATTGACCCTAGCCTTGGATACGGGCAGCGAGGGGGACTGTTCGTTGTTGGGCAGCATCTCGTACGTCCAGCAGTCCCCCCCGCCGCCGATGCCACCCATCCTCGAGCTCCTTCTGCTGTCCAGGCTGTCGTCCGTTTGGGGAGCCACGGTACTGGCTCCTAGCGAACCCGAACTACTTGAACTTAGGAGATCGATGGTGGAGATTTTGGTAGCCCTCGAAGGGCTACGAGACGGTTATTATTCGGATTTTTTTTCAGAATTTCCGCACTAGCGTTTTAGTTTTGGGGTTATTTCAAAGGTAATCAAGTCGGAGAAGTGAAAAAAATCATCTTGAAATATCGTTGTTAGTAGCTGGCAATAAAACCGTTTCAAGAGGCTAGACTACAAACTGGTTTTAAATTTATCAATTTTTGGTATAATTTAATTTAAAAGTTTAAATTTAAGCAGAATCTGATCCTGTTCCGAACGCTTTCGAAGGACAACGGAAGTTAGCGTCCTTTGTGCAATTAAGATACCAAAGCAAAACCGCTACTGCCAATTGACTTCACACCTGGTATGATATGACAGGATGGTAAGCGGGTAAAAAACACACTGTCGCTTTAATTCGGGGAAACGGGAATGGCCGAATACGTCATTTTCTGTAGGATATTATGAAAAAGCATATATGCAAATCAAGAAAGTTAATATGGTTAGAGCCTACTTTTTATCAGGAGAAAACAATGATGTTGCAATATGACGATCAGATGGATTATCCGACCTTTCACAAAATTACACACATCGCATTTTTCTGAGAGAATTCTTCAATGAAAAATCGGTTAATACCAGTTTCAGGTATCTGTCAGTCGAGTAAATATCTGCTGGAAATGAACCAGCCGCAAATAAAAGCAAAAGTTGGGCAGTTAAAACTCGATTCAGAGTTTGAAACCCTCTATTATCGGTTAAGCCTCAATAAATAACCACCGGCGCGAATAACGTCTATTCTACCCCTCCTACAGCTCGCTAGAGCCGTAAATCGACTGTGAACTGGCCGCCTTTGATCGATCCCGTACAGAATTAAACGCTAATTGTTAATTTAAGTTGCTGCAGCAGTGACAGGTGAATTGTCGGGTCCATTGTCGGGACAGCAGGCCGGTCGATTAAATTTTCATAAAGCCTGTTTGCAGTACAAGTTAAATTATAGTGAGAAACTGTCCGTTTGCACAAAGACGTCTGTACAGTGAGACGTTTTGTATACTATAATCTTTGGAATACTAAAATACAGTGTAGCAGTATCACAAAAATTCAGTCTATATTGTGGTTTAAAATATTAAGATAATAAAAAATTCAGTTCGGAAACTTTTTATTGTCCACAGCTGTAGTTACCTAGAACTGTAATTAATTAGTGGATGATGAATTTAATATTGCTTTCAGTTCTTTATGTATTTTCTTAAATAAGAATAGAACTAATCGATCAAGTCATTTGTAGTATTAATAAAACATAGCCGAGAGCTGAATTTTAATACTGTCTATTCCTTTTCAACAAATGTTTTTTTATACAGGGTGTTTGTAAATAAGTACCAAATATTTTAGGAAGTGGTTAACGAAGTTATTTTGTGGAAGAAACTTCATGTAGGTCGAAATATGCTTCGTTTTGTTTAAATTTTAATTATTTATTTATTTTTATTAATTATTTCAGTTTTAAAAATATTGACTCGAAATTTGAAAAACGCTTTGGAAGTATAAATGTGCATTTTTTGGGATGATCCGAATATTTCTACTTGCACCAGTGGCGTTCGTGCGAGAATATTACAAATTTTTTTAATAAAAAATATGATACGCCACTGACTTTTACCGTTTTGATATTTTTTCAGAAATTCGCTATCAATTCTGAATAAAATTGATCTCTTCAATTTTTTTCGTAGAATGCACCGTTTTTGAGGAAAAAAATATATATTTTATTGCAAGTTGTGTGTATTTTTAATTTTTATTGATACATTATCTAGTACTAGTACGTTGCTGTCAATATTTCTAAATAAAATACAACTATCAAATTTCGAATCAATATCTTTAAAACTATCTGAAATAATGAATAAAAAAAAATTAAAAAATTAAAATTTAAACATTCTGTATCTCGAAAACGAAGACTTACTTTCGACTTACGTTTATATGAACTGTTTTTCACAAAATAACTTCGATAACCACCCCCTAAAATATTTCGCACTTATTTACAAACACCGTTTAGATCAAGAGAAATTACTTTAAAAAAATGGTTTAAGCGATATAGTGCAAATTTGATTGCCTACAAACTTGTGTTACCTTTTTTTCTAATGTTTATCGAATTTGGGTCACTGTTATGATAGGGGATAAAGCTATTCTACTATTTTTCTCTTGTTTCCATTAATTTCGAAAATGATTGGTTTACATTTATGCAGGAACTATTTTATGAATTTGTGACGTAGAATCTGCCAGGAAAATAAAAAAATATGGCAAAAGACCCAAATTTTAGACAAAAAACGATTAACTATTTGCATTTAAAGGAATATTTCCTAAGCTGTGTACCTTTTGTGTGAAAATATATTCTTCACTTTATATTTGTTTTTTGTTTTCGTCTGCTGTTTCAAGTTACTTTAATGTCACTGATCGATTAGGCCCAGTATCCAATTTCCTTGGGACTGGCTGTGGGGGAAACAGAATAAATGCGCTGTATTATTAACGGAATGATTTAGGCTGGTATCGATGAAATACGGTTGGATACTTATGCCCAAGTTAATTAGTGTTCTTCTCCCATTTCCTCTAGCGCATAAATAATTGGATGATTGTTGTCAACAGTTAGAAACATCTGAAAATACTTTTTGTATGGAAATGAGTGTCACTTGACGCAGCCACAGCTTATAAAAGTAATAAGAGGTAGATTCAATTCAGTACAAGTTTACTTGCAACTTTTGGTTTTAATAAACGGAATAAACTCGTTTGAAATAATTAAAATAAAACTGCAATAATTTTGATGAGACTTGATGCCCCAGAACAATTTTCACATTCATTATCTCTGTGTTTTAAAGAGACTTCATGTTATGAAAGAATGACTGATATATGTGACATCAGTTTGAATGGCTCCTCGTTTCTGTCTATATAAATGGAAGACAAATCCACTCGACAGCGATCTGTGTCGTTTGTCGAGTCGTCCAAAATTACGCTTACATCCAACTTAAGCGTAGACTAAAATTAATGATTCTAATTAAAGCTAGTCAAAGCAGCGAATAATTTTCAGGCCAGGCTAGAACAAAACGTAAATGGTATATTTTCAGCTTGCTATCTGAAGATGAATTAAAAAAATGAGCGGTTATCAAAGCAACTCCAACTTGTTTACCTCTGTCGATTAAAACCGTCCTATTTTTTACACTCGGTTATTATTCCACATTGGACGCATTAGGTTACACAATCACACTTATTAGAGAATGGGGACACAAGAACAGAGAAGTCACAGGTAGGTATTAGGAAAAACAGAAACAGAAACTAAATCCTGAGTCGCCGCTGCAATTTCTCAGGGGCTCCCAAAGAAATCGGGGGGGTGGGGCGACGTGTCGATTAAATGTCGTGCAGGTGTTAATTGGAAAGATAAGTTAAGTAGTCAAGCACACCGAAGATTTGCCCAAGTAAGGGTTGATCACGGGGACTGTCGGATTGCAGTAAGGGGTGGCTCTCCTCGCTCTCGCACATCGATCGGGGTAGCACCGACTGCGGCTCGCCGTTCGCATCATGCGGACTGCTGACTGCTGGTGCCTCCCACCCGAAAAGCTAGGCGGAAAAATTCACACGCACATCCTTATTGTGTGATTTGGTACACGGGGAACGTGCCGCTGATTTATCTCTGCGATAAGTGGAAAAAATCCGAGGTCCAAAGGTCAGAGACAGCTCTGAAATATGATGGGCAAATAGGGTCCCTTTCCATATTTTTTTTGCTAAAAATAGAACTGGATGTTTGCTGTCAGGGCCGGAATTAGTTGTGGGGCCAATGCATCTTTGTTTCGTTTCTTTATGGCATACAAACAGACCACTTTTAAGAAGAAATTTTCAGATCGACACAGATTTTCGAGGTGCGTTTTCATTTTTACATATCAGTGGTTTTTCAGTTTTTTATTTATTGCAATTTTATTGTATACCGGGTGGGGCATTTATCTTGAGACAAAATAATATCTCGGTTGGACCCGATAATTTGAAAAGAGTTGCAGACAAAAGTTGTAGGGTGAAAAGAGGCTATCTTCACATGACCTTGAAAATGACCTTAACCTTAACTTCAAGGTCGTTTGAAGATTATTTTGAAAAAAATGTACCAATCACCCCGCCAGAAATTTTTTCAGTCGTATACGCGGTTGATTATTTAAGAGTACTGGAAGTATTAAAAATAATTTTAATGGAAAACACCAAAAGCTGGTAACCTACAGATGCGAATACGCAGTTTGAAGTAATGCCGTCTGTGGTAGCAAATCCAAAACTGTCATTGCGCAAAAGGAAGTCGTTGATGCAACAAAATGTAAGTAAAGATACAGTTTCAAGAATTTTAAAACTAAATAAATACAAACCATTCAAACCAAAAATCGTTCACACATTGAAAGAAACGGGTTATGATAGGCGCTGTCTCATCTAAGGAGAGTTAGAAAAGGACCCTTTTTTACGAGGCATATAATTTTTTCCGTTGAAGCAACATTTTCGTCAAATGGAACTGTCTCTTCACGGTAATTTCGCTGGTGGTCTGAAGAAAATCCTTTTACAATAAAATCTCATGACCAATATTCATTTAAGACGAACGTGTGTTGTCGCATTTATAATAACAGATTAATAGGACCTTTTTTTTCGCCAAGTTATGAATGCCGGACGTTATTTACAGTTTTTACAAACTCACATCAATGACTTCATGGACGAAGGACGAACCACCCTTACAAGAACGTCAATGTATTTGGTTCCAACAAGACGGTGCCACATGCCACAGTACATTGAATGTTAGGGAATATATTGAACATATGTTCCATGGAAAAGTTGTTCACAGATATTCTGATCTTTTTTGGCCTGCTAGATCCCCCGACTTAACACCCCTTGATTGCTTCTTATAGTTCTTATGGGGTTTTCCAGAAAGGGCTGTTTCAAGGTGTTAACCATTTGTAGAGGATAATTTTAGAAACGTGCCAGGAAATTTCTTCACAAATGATAAGGAATGTATTGCTTGAATTTTCTAATAGAATGATTAAATGTATTGAACGAGAGGGTGGATATGTCGCGGCATTAGTGAAATGTGTGAAAAATAAATTTCTATCTATTTATAATATTAATATTATGTTAGTTACACAATTTAGTATTTGTATGTATTTTCTTATTTGCAAAATAAATGCACATGCATTAATTATGTTTAAATTGCAAAATTGTTAGAAAACATTTAGAAACGAAAATGTTATCCTGTGCTTCATAATCACAAGAGATATGTTCAAAATAGAAAAATTAGTAAAAAATAACAATTTTTTCCTAATTTTTCAATGTAAATGGATGTAGTTGTATATTTGAACGTAGTTTTTAGTTTTGATCAACTTTTCTTTATAACAATTTTCAATATTGTCAAATATAAAGGTACTTTATTCATATTTTTTGACAAACCGCGTATACGACTGAAAAAATGTAATATCTGATGATTGTATTTTAGATTTTAGAACATGCAGAACTTTTTATGAGGAATAACTTTTTTTCCTAAGATTAATAATAAAAAAAGTTTTCCGTATAGTACCAACTTAGTGAGACATACTGTATATGCAACACAAAGTTTTGCTAAATATATTTAAAAAACTGTAATAAGCTGATAACATTTTACTCGACAAAATGTTATCTTCTATGTGGTAACGACTATTTTAAATAATATGCGTGTGTTACTATGCGGAAATAAGTCGAAAAATTATTAATAATATCTTCAAAATGAAATTCATGTTTCGAAAATGTCCAAAAAATATATTTTTTTTATTACATGCACTGGTTTAAATTAGAATTTAATTTTAATTCACAAAATTTCAATATATTCGTTCGTTCATTCAGTTATAACAATTATAAAATAAGTATTTTAATAACACATAAATATTCTGTAAACTTAAATAATTAGAAGCTCTATTATGTGGAAAATGTATATAGGGTTCATAACACTATTAAAAATTATTAGTAAGCATTTATCTAAGATAGCGTTTGAAATTTTAAAAACATTTCAAGTGCTACAAGAACGAAGATAGAACACCCTGTGTAAACTTTCAAATGCAAATATTTTGAATGAAACGGGATTTTCTAAATTGGGCAATCTCATCTAATCGTTGAATATTCCCACTTTCAATTTGGTAATGGAATAAGAAAATGTTCAATCTACAAAATCCCCTTTTAAAGGGATCCAATTTTATTATTATTATCAACGTAAAAATAGATTTCCTTACTAAAGGGCTATACAGGGTCGGAAAGTCCCCATGGTTCATCGGCCGTTACGTGAGAGCGATAAAGAAAGTCATAGAAATCCGTGCGATAGAGAAAGATGGCTGTAATGAAGGCGTCTAATAGTCACCGCCCATTTCACCCTTCCACAAATAAGAAGTGGATTTTATTTGTGGAAGGGCGAAATGGGCGGTGACTATTAGACGCCTTCATTATAGCCATCTTTCTCTATCGCACGGATTTCTATGACTTTCTTTATCGCTCTCACGTAACGGCCGATGAACCATGGGGACTTTCCGAGCCTGTATAGGCTGACTCGTAAATGAAGCTGCACGGGGTAGATGCTCGTAGGGGAGGATAAAATATTGTGTTTTAACTGAACTTACCTCCATATCAAGTTGCTTTGTATAACCGCTAGATGAAGCTAAAGATTGCAGAAAGTTTGTAGTATGTCTGTTCAGATGTCGCTTTTTGACATAATAAAGGAGATAACTGCAATAGTTATCGCACCTAAAAAAAGATACTCAAATTTACAAAATTTGAGATTAATGCATTTATTATTTTCATAATAGTATATTCGAAGTATTTGTATTCTGAGAGGAATTATTATAAGTTTTTTAATATTTTAAAACCTTTGTTTAAAGATAAGTTGAAGGTTTATTTTATTACTTCCTTTAATTTTGAAAACAAGTTGCAAATTTATAAGAGAAATAGCAAAGAATTAGTACAGGGGGCGTAGCTCAGATGGTAGAGCGCTCGCTTAGCATGCGAGAGGTACCGGGATCGATGCCCGGCGCCTCCAACCTTTTTTTTTTTTCGAAAATATTTTGTTGTAAACACTACAAACCAGGATCAACATAAATGAACTGTATAAATTTTAATGTACTTACAGATTATATAAACAAATGTCATATTAATCAGTAATTAAATATCGAACTTTATATCGAAATACATATTTATTTCTGGTTTGGAGGGTAAAATTACCTAATCGACTGTTCAGATTAGATTTCAATAAATGCTTCTACCGTTAACTGCCATTATTAATTAGTTAAAATAAAAGCAGCCACTTTTTTCCTTAATAATAAAGTCACCGATTGAATGCCCCCCGACTACCTACGCTTAAAAGTAGGACTTTACTGACCCAGGACAACGTCAGTGCATACTGTACGAATATTGATTTATTAGGGCAAGCTAGGTACTAATTCTATTTCAATCGACCGCGTCCAAATCAAGCTATAACTCAATTTAATGAAATGTCTTTGGCGTTTGACGGAGATCGGGCGAATAAATCGGATTTTCGAAACTCAATATCACTCCTGTTATTAATTTAAAATGAACTGTGATGAAATAATAGATATACTCCTACTCCTTCTCTCCAAGAACTTTTAAAGCAAAGTCTGCGCCTACGCTGGAAGCGAATATCACTTTCACGGGTTTGCATAATAATCCTCGCATACATATTTATGAAATTTATCAGCCAATCGGTCGGTGCTGCCGCTTTGCTAGCGAAAAACAAACGATGCGTGATGATAAGAACCAGTCTGTTATTGTTTATTTCTGAATAATTTATCAGAGTGGGTAATTACGAGGAAAAATCTGTTATATACCCGTATATAAGAATTACAAATTAGTTTTAAAGGTTGTTTTGCAGTGTTGAGTGTTGGTAGTTGCGTCAAGATGATTTGTGTACGTATGGAATATATTTTGATCGCTGTAGCAGTTTTCGCAGCTGCTGTGGCATCTGGAATTGGCAAGTATAAATTTTTTGTTTTATACTGACTTGTTTGACAGTTCTTTAATTCCTTACATTTAAAAGGTAAGCTGTCTTGATTTTTTCGGAATACTTTTTTTTTCTTGTTAAAAATTTGACCCACAGATCAAAGTTACATTTTTTTAAAGTCGCATTGGATCCGTACAGGAGCCACCTAAAATATCAAAATTTATTTTTTTTGTCTATAGTTTCAAAACGAAAAACATTTTTGACTTGAAGATTTCTTCCGATAAAGTAGCCAACATTCTATCTTTAATAATAACCGAGACATCGAAAATAGATTACGCTGTAATGAACTATAAATTATAGATGAAAAATTTTGAACCCAAAATCCGAAATATTATACACCTAATTATTGTATTTTATATTCGACACAGGCCAAGATTTGTTAACAAATTTTTTACAGACTTGTGCAATTGATGGCTTTGTTGCAATCTAAGACTACGATGATAAATTTGCTTAATAAATATATGACATTTGAATTGAATTTTGCAACAAGGTGGGTAATTTAGATAAAAGAATTTGTTATCTAAAAAACGCATCCAACGAAATTTTGCAAAATAAATTATTTATGAAATGAGTAGTATGGTACTTTTTTATAAAAATAATAAAAAAGAAACAGAAGTAATTGATACTGTCATACAAAATAATAAGGGGAAATCCTTTCAACCTTGAAAACTTGGAATATACATGTACTTGGTTCTAAGTAGAATTAGTTAAAGGTATGTCAGTGTTTTAACTGTTTTATCGACGTATATAGTCATTTTTATTTGTGTATTGTAACTAAAATTTTAATGATGCGTCGTTAAACTTATAGTCATAACTAAACACCAGACATTTTGTAGCCACGATCAAATAAATAAACAGTAGTTATCTATATTATGCTGGTAAGCGACAATAAGCGTTGTAGTAGTAGATATAGGCTAAATCTGTGGTCAAGCCGTGTGCCGCTCTACACTCACAATACACAATATTAGTAACTGCCATAAAAACACGTGCCATACACTCGACCAAGCAAAGCGTCAAACGTACACACGTACAAACGACAATGGAATGCACGGACAACATCTCTTGGCACAAACTTGGCACGCCAAGGCGACAGGGCAGGCACTAGGGTGCCGCTAGATACGTATCGAATAAATTGATCGATGCGAAGCTTCAGATCAGAGGCAGACATGTAGGTACATGTCATTGTACAATGAAGCGGATTAAAAAAAAGTAAAACTGTTCAATGAATACAACAAACAAATAGCGACAGACAATATTTTGACTAATAAAACCATAAAAAATATTCACTATGTTCACTTCTTTCAGAATCGAACTTTTATTATGACGAATCGTGTTCTAAGGCGGAAGGAAATTGCGTTTTAGAAAAGGAATGTCCTCATCCAGTGGACAACCATTACAAAAGTTTGTGTCCTGGACAAAAAGATGCCGTTTGTTGTAAACACTGTAAGTACTCACATAGTTTTTTTAGATGTTAGAACGACAGAAATGAATTATGAAAACAACGTGCATTTAGTCTGTAATAAAACTACTTAATATTTAAAACTGGTATTATACGTTGCGCTTTTATGGCGTCACGAACGTGATGGCGAGTGCTGCAACTTTATTTAGTCTAGGCCTGGGGATATAAATTTGTTAAAACAATGATTTCCTCATCAAAACTAAAACTACTTTATATATTTTCTTCTTCGTTTGCTTTTATTCTATCGTGTCTAATTTTGTTTCAACATCTCGTCACACTATTTTACGTCCATCTCCAAACATCCCCATTTCGCTGAGGATTCCCGGATAAGTGGTTTATTTGAACAGCCCAAAACTGGAATTTTGTTGCTGATAGTAAAGGGATATGCTGATGGTTGGTCCACGCCCCAAATCTCTATAAAAAGTTGCCTAACATTGAGGTCAGATAAATAATACATTACCTAATTAGCGTAATGTGTCTCCTACACTAGGGATCAGTTTGTATTGGCGATGTCGCTGGAGGTATTTTTTTTATTAACCACTGACACCGGAAGCATGGTAACATTTTGGAGAATATAGAAAATTTATTAAGGTCTCCGTTTAGTTCATTTCAGTTCATCGTTCATTTTAAATTATCGCAAGTTTTTATATTATTTAAATTTCCTTGTTACAGTTCCGCGAGAAAAGTTAAACTGTTTCCAGTTGCACAACGAATGCCAAGAATCGTGTCCAGAACAGCTAGATCTTGGAAGGAAGGGCTGTCAGAAAGGAACATGTTGTGTTTTGATATAATGAAGAAATAATGTACTATAATATTAATGTGTACAGCCGTAGGCAAAAAAGTCTTCGACCTGCTGCTTTTAAAAGGATTTCTATAAAGAGGGGAGCTTGCGTGGAAAACTTTTTATTATCCGCGGCTGCATCCAGGTTTAAAAAATAAAATACCTATTCCAAACAAGATATTTTTACTTTAAACTTCATTTTTATCAACATTAACGGTTTTTTAATTATGTTAAAATTAGAATAAATTGTTTGCAATGTTTTAAATTTACAAATTCCGAGAAAGGGGTCATCCATAAATTACATAAGGGTATTCTTTCACATTTTCAACTCCCTCCCCATGTAAAGAAACCGTAAGATTTTTCATAACCCCCCTCCCCCACCTTACGTAATACATTACATGATTCAATTATTTTTTTATTATTATAAAAAAAGCTTTACAACTTCTAATTATAACATTTATTAATATATTTGTTATATTAGAGGAGAAAAAAATGAATATCGACTTTTTTGGTCACGAAAAACCCACGAATAAAATTTAGCTCTGTCGCAGTTGTCACATTTTAAGTTTACTTATGATAGCTATAATTAATGTAGATTATTTTATTACGTAAGAATTTCATTCCCCCTCCTCCCCCCCAAGTAAGGAATGATAAGAAAATGTTGTTACGTAATTTATGGATGACCCCAAACATAAATCAAAAACGAATTTTCGTAAAAGCCATAAAAAGACGATTTGTGTACCAAACTCAGTAATATTTTCGTTAATATGAATTACATTATGTACTTCTAGGACAAACATAAATAATAAATTAAAGTTATTGTGCCTTCACAATTCCTTGGTGGAAAAAATTGAACAATTCGTGGAATAAAGCTTGTAAAAGAGCTATTATCGTTATCAATTTGGGTATGTCTAACCATTCGAACTTTTATGTGTATACAATACGTGTCAGGTCTGTCTGTAAGGGGATGTTTGCAAAATAACTCACTTAATACACACAAAATATATCGCCCTATACAGGGTGATTCACAAACGGTGACCAAAAATGAAACCTCGTATTCTTTAATGAATTTTAAGTCTTTCGTATAAAGGTTTTATCTGGGACGTTTCGTTAAAAAGATACAGGGTGTTAAACTTAAAAAAATATTTTTAATTTTCCTAACGCCACTGCTTTACGGTAACAGTTATGATATTTTCAGATTCGTCTTTCAATTTTCTACAAATTACTATTCTCTTATATTTTTCGAAAAACGTCTGATTTTCGAGTAAAACTTAAATAAATCGAATCTCAACCCACTGGATTTCTTCTTATGGGGTGCTGTTAAACGGCTGATATACAGTAAACAAATTAATACACCTGAGCAGTTAGAAGAAAGAATAAATAACGCTGTTCATCAGATTCAAGCAAGAATAAATTTCGAACAAATTACATTTTCTTTACTAAAAATGTCGCGCCTGTGTTCGTGAAAATGGAGGTATTTTTGAGCACTTTTCAAATAAAATCATTAAAATGATGAGTAATGTTATTAATTTCTTTATTCGATTAAATAACCGAAAGATTAGTGTTTGTTATGTCATTTAACTAAAAATGTTTTCAGTTCGTTTTTTAAGTTTTACTCGTGAGGATTGCTTTCGGTGTGCAGCAAAATAAAACTGTCTTTATTGAACACAAAGTTAGTGAAAAAGAAGTGTGTGTCGGGGGAGCGTTCGCTGGAGAGTCGTCATGGTGTGGAGTCGCTCGCAAGTATAAGTATCTGGTCATTGTCGCCAATCTGCCGTAGTCCTCTTCCGGGAACCATATTCCGCGCTCTAGACGTAATACTTAAAATGGGTCACTTGCAGACATGTGTACCCACACTCGAAAATTAGGCTTTTTTCGAAAAACATAAGAGAGTAGTAACTTGCAGAAAATTGAAAGACAAATCCGAAAATATCATGATTGTTACCGTAAAGTAGTGGCGTACTATTTTATTTAGAAAAATATACCACCCCTTCCCCTTTATCCCCGTCACTGGACCATCTAAATTTTAGAAATGGCCTCAGATGTTGGACAATGTTTACATAAATACATGTGCCCAATTTCAAATTATTTCACTTACTAGTTTTTAAATTATTTAAAGAAAATTAAAAAAATTTTTTTAAGTTTAACACCCTGTATCATTTTAACAAAGCGTCCTAGATAAAAATTTTATAGAAAAGGCTCCCCCTAAAATTCACCAAAGAATACGAGATTTCGTTTTTGGTCACCGTTTGTGAATCACCCTGTATAGTAGTGAAGCTCCATAAAAGATTTATGAGCATCAGGTGAGTGGTTAGAATGAATAGGAACTATACTCGTGTTCAACACATTATTATATTAAATAGCACGTTTTATGCTTAAAATTTGCTTACCTTTTGAATAATAATTTTGCATAATTCCGTTTAGACTTTTTTTTGTCCATAACTGTACATAATACTGAAAATATTTTGTGATTTAATGGCGATAAAAAGATACTGTTCTTTCAACGTCATATGATTATAATGTATTTTACATATAATTCTTCTGTTTGTGTTTGTCTAAAGAGATGGGAAACAATGATTAAAATAACTTCACTTTAAAACAATTATCCTTTCCTGGCCAGAGCAAACCAAATCGATAACACATTATGTTCTAAAAATAAACCAATTTTAAAAATGATGTGTCAACCTACCCCTAAATAGAATATTGCATGGTAAAAGTTCACCTCACCCGACATAAGTGAACGCTAAATGTCACATATGTATTTCGTTTATTTTGTTCATGATATAATTACGAGACTTATAAAAACAAGTTAAATGTCAAACCAAATGTTAAAAAGTACCTGAGTACGAAATTGTATAATTTACAACTATTTACCTTTCCCCATCATCGTTGAAGGCCCAGTCTCCGAGAATGAGGTCCCTGAAGCGGTACCGCGGTGGTAGAGGCAGTGGTGTGACGGCCTCCATGTCTTTGTCCCTTCCTAAGAGGGCCATACTCCCGCCCTCCTCATGGGGCTTCTCCTCCAGGGTGCCTGCGCCCCTCGGGCCGTCTTGGGAGCACGAAGAAATTCAATTTGTTACGCCATAAACTACTTTTCTTAAACTTTTAGCCACAGTATACGCCCATCGCGAGTATTATTTTTTCGGCTAGTCTTAAGAGCATCGCAGTTATGTTTTTTTTTTAAGTGATTCGTTAACAATCTCTAAAACATCATTAATTTAAATGAGTTCCATCCGATTTTCATCTCACTAACACTTATTCCTTACTTGTCGTCGAGTCGGCTGGGAACACACCTTTCAGACAGTTGAAAAACGATAAAACAACGGAGCCGCGAGGCAGGGGTGAGATCTCGGCGCTATCACAAATTGGAGCACGACGCGTCGAGACGCCAACGACAGCGGAATTGAATGCCACGCGGTAAAGAGTCGTCACATGACTTGCGCCCCCGGAATGTTGCTTAGGAACAACGGCGCTCACCTACCACCACATGTTTTATTTAAAAAGAGCAGTTGTGACATGCAGGGGCCATCTACTTCCTGATACTGGGTCATAACCTATTTACCTGTACCGAATTGATTCATTAAATATTCACGTTAATGTCTAGCTGCACTAGACGGAAAAAGAAACGTTTCTTTCAAGAAAAAAATGTGTCGACTAACTAATACCGTCTTTTTTTATTAATATACAGGGTGTCCCAAAAGTGACGCCCCTCCTTCTAGGATTGGATTAAGGAGACAAAAACGAATTGAAAATCAAGAGTGGAAACATTTTCCGATTGTTTTCCGTTGTTGAGTTATTCAAAAAAGTATTCAAAAAACTAAAAAAGTGAAAATCCATTTTTTTGTCTCAAAACTGAAGTCTTTGCTTATGGGAACCAAAACATATAATTTATAACTAATAGTAGATAAGTATAGATTTCGATTGTCGGTTGTACCTGGGTGTAAGGAATTATTTTAACCTGAAAAGGATAGAGAAAAACATTTTTATAATAAACATAAACTAAAACCATAATATGCTTAAATAGTAGAAATTGTTTTTACAAAAGGTGTTCAAATAAGTTGCCTTCTACTTCAAGACAAAGAATATCAGGATTCAACATTGAAGCATGAACTCTTTGTAGCATCTCTTGGTCTATTAATGCGACAGCAGCGTATATACGGACTCTAAATCTTTTCTTTTAAATAACTACGAAAGAAAAATCTAGGGGATTCAGATCTGGTGATCAAGGAGGCCATGGTCCACCTCTTCCAATCCATCTGTCTCAGAAGTTTTGATTCAGATAATTTTATATTCGTAAACCATAATGTGATGGAGCTCGATTATGTTGAAACCAATAATTTAGTCTAACTGCTAACGGAACGTCATGCAGCGATGGCAATGGTAAGTTTTCATTTAAAAACATACAGCTGCAGCAAATACAGCTTTGAACTACATAAATATTTAATAACCCAGCCCAAATGTTTATTTTTAGTTTTTTGAATAATTTTTTTAATAACTCAGCAAAAAAAAATAATCGGAAAATTTTCCGCTTTTGATTTTCGATTTGTTTTTGTCCCCTTAATCAAAACCCATAAGGACGGGCGTCACTTTTGGGACACCCTGTATATTTTTTAAAACTGACTATATAATTGTCTTTAATCGGTGATGAAATGGGATAAAGCAACTTGATTCAAGTGAATTGTTTGTTGTATGAATGCCCAGTTGTCAACAGGTCATAAAATAAGAGTCTTTTTAAATCTTATTTTTACAACAGAAAGTAGTTAGTAATTATTGTTAGTTTGTAATATAATGTAATCTCTCGAATATGTTGCTATATCAGGAGTTTTTCAAGCTATGTATGTTTTCAGCCAAGAAAATTGAATAACTTCAAATATTTCGAATTTGCAACACCAAGAACGGTGACGACAACATTTTTAACAGCAAGGCGATGTTTCTCATTGTATTAGCTGTGTCTTGTCCAAATTTGGTTAGTGCAACTCTCTCGGTTACGAAAATTCAATACCTATGTACCTCAAGTCTCCAATATTGGTCCTTAATTATACCTGATGTTCATTAATGATGTGGTTAACAACTTAGGTGTAACACTGAGGGAAATCAAACAATAAGTTTTGCAAAGATAACTTGTATCATGATAGCATAGTACATTTTTTCTACCTTTTTTTCCCACTAAAGGTAAGTAGATAAATTATTGCTTTAGTTAACGCCTATTTATTAATGTTTAAAAATAATTTATTTATGACAAAGCAAAAATTGTATAACAGTGGCTGGATATTTTTTTAGCGCGTAGTAATCATAATTGACGCGCAGACGCGTGAGCTACAGTACACATCCATTTTGCCAGTAATATAATAGTAAACAACATAGTTTTGAATGTGTGTTGCGTATACATTATGTTAAGGATAAAATTGCTATGTAAAAAATTACAAGATTAATACATGCATATGAAATTTCGGATGAAAAAAAAACACGCAAGGAATAATTTCCATTCCGATAAAAAGAAACTACGTCGATATGAAAAATGTTAAATTCTGGAACTGTGTCAAGGGCATTTTATTGATGTTACGCTGAAGGTCGGCACGAGGAAAACTGATGAAAAAAACTAGAAATAGAGTGGAAAAAGCTTTTAAAGGGTTAGCATAAAAATTAAGGTCATAGCTGAATATCTTGCATATTTATATCTGTAACTATATATAAATTATAAATGTATATTATTTAGCAACATAAGAAAATATTGCAAGAAAAAGAGATTCGTAAAACAATGAAGCATCTGCCACATTGATTCCAAAACGATTTTAGGCATAAATGGGAGAATATGATTTTATATCAATATAATTGAGAGAAATAAACCGCAGAAAACGGCTGCGGACCTCCTTGTGCATATTTTTTCTTTGAAAGGGTAGTTATCACCCTCGCATCTAAACTGAAGCGGGCGAGTTTGGTTTCGGGTGAAAAGGAATAGCTATCGCTACGTATTTTCCAAATAACAAGTTAAATTGACAAAGGGTGGAGGGTTATGGTTTGCTAATGAAATCTAGACACGAGTTTTGAAATTTTGTATGTAGAGTAGAAACAGAAATAATCATATCGAAAATACTGTACCAAATTTCCTTTATATCACAATTTTTACACAACAGGATTCAAAACTCTTAAGCTGACACTGTTTCTAATAAAGTACAGAACAATATCTAACTTTCTAAAGGCATGAAAGAAAGAAGTAGAACTCATCCTAGAAACATCATGGAACAAATACAAATAAATGTATATATAAACTGTGTACGCTAAGGTAATTTACAATGTCAAGGAGCAAAAGAGTATTTACATATATTGAATCTCAACTATAATAATTACGTATATGACAACACGAAAAATGTTATCTCAATGCCCTTTACCGTACGATATTTGTTGACCCCTGCCAAGGTAATTTGTTCCGATAACGGAACTTTATTGGCTTATTTTTTTCTTGGAAACCTATCTCCATAAATATTGTACGGACTGTATATTACGCCGAAGCAGAATATATTAATAAGAAAAGACAAGTGAACTACTGAAGATTATATTTTGTATTTTTAGTTTGCTGCATTGATAACAAATAGTATTTTGAATAAATTGAATAAACTCAGTCCGCACCGTCTATAAAACCTTTAGAAATCAATATTATGTGTAATTAAGATTCAGAAAGCTTTACTTCTATTAATGATTTCGTACGGTTTAGTTGAAAGTTCTTGTAAACAATGAATTTATTGTTAATAGTATTAGTACGATAATTATATAGTAACTGGTTATTTAGATTGATAATTTTCAGACCTAAGAACTCGATTAGAAGAATGAAATACATAGTATCCTGTACCATAGAATTCTTTCAACCAATCGTTACTCGACATTAAGGATGCGGTTACTGGTTACGAAAGATTTCTACCGCGACTGACTAGGAAGTGGCGCCACCGGCTTTGGCGTGGAGATCTCTGCAACTAGCAATTGAAATTGATGTTTAGAGTGGACCATCTCAGTTTCTCTCCTTTCTGTTTCCACATATATAAAGATGGGAAATCGAATAAGTTAGATATTACCTAATTAACTACATTGTTCGTAATTGGATATAATTGCAAAGTTAAGGACAAACTACAGAATATCTCTAGAAAGCAGTATTGAACATTTTATCTGTTACTTACCGCTAGAAAATAGTTTTCATTTGATCTCGCTCTTTTTACAGGAAATATTTTGCAGTTGCAAACAGTGTAGTTAACTGTAACTTGTGAGGAAGCCTTCAGATACACCTTCTTTCGGACAAATGCTCCAAGTATCTACGCCATAAAAATTAACGCCTTCATATTGTCAACTTTATTATAGATGCATTCGTTCTATTAAAAGCTTTTTGTTTCTCATTACACATATTATGTTATACGTAGAACTTCGCATTAAAAAACAGGTTTCAAGAATAAAAAATATGGAATGTCAAATGTCGATCAAAACAAGCAAAAAGTGCTATACGAACGTCTTGGAAAATTATTTTTAAGGAAATACACCATCCTTTTTCTCCTCAACGAATGATACAACTTTTATATGAAAAAATATCCAGCAGTTTCTGTTAAAAGGGATCGCATTTAAACTTCTGCAATTTCAAATATCTTTTTTTATTTAATATATTTTTTAATGAAATATGTTTTCTAAACATATTTTTTAAGTATGAAAAATTCTCGGAAATAATAAATTATCAACTAAAAAAAAATATAAGTAAACAATCAAGTAATATAAGATTAAATAAATAAGATACCTACTAAGAGTTCAATATACCCCCATCATCGAACCCTCTGTATGAGAAGAGATACATAAGCTGATCATTTTAAAAGCATTTGATTGGCTATTTTGATATGCTTATTGTATGGCTCGGATAAATGTTTTCTTAGTACCTACTAATTAAAATAAATAAATTGCAGTAATTAATTTTAATGATATAAAGACAAAGTCTAAATTTCAATGAAATTTCCTAAAATAACAAAAATAATCAGCGATAATGGTGTCCACTTTTAATATATGTAAATGTATTATCTTACCTATTATATTCCCAGTAAGAAAAATAAAATTGCTGCAACATTACCAACAATCTACAGATACAACAGTAATGTAAAAATCTTGCAAGAAATTCGCAACAAAGTTATAATGACAATAACTTTGCAAGGAAAATTAATTTGGCAAGTAAACTTGTCGATAATCTTGCTACAACTTTTTTTGTAAGGATTTTCTTAGCAATATTCAAATATTATTGTTTTGTACACTTGCTGTAAAGTTAATTATAAAATTATTAGAAGTTTCTTTTAATTTTTTGTTTTATCAATAACAAAACGGCAAAGAATGAATATCGTATACCTCTTCTTTCCAATAAATTTACACAATTAAACTGAATGCAACTTTTCGAAATTTATTGTAAATATTGTAAAGTTTTTTTTCAGTGGGTTATTTTTCAGCAGCAAAAAGAAACATTTTAAAAATTATTACTAGATAGCAGTTTCATAAATTTTTTGAAAAACACAACACAAAACAGTCGCAAGGCAGTTAGGTCTCTTTAAAAACATTAAGAAAAGCATACAAGGTGGTCCTAAATTTAATATCCTGTATTTTCACAATAGATTTTTATACAGAGTGTCCCAGAATATGTGGGCAATCTCTCGGATTTATACAGGGGACGTTAAAATAATATAGCAAGGTCGTATACAAATTTTCCCTAGGGGGGCCCCCTACGGAGATACAGGTCCCTAAAGGACGCCTCTGAATATCGATTATTTTTTTTAATAACTTAATATACTTTGTGTAATTTAATTATTTTTTAATGCGATAGACAATAGAGGATCCAACAATCTTCAATTCCTAGATCTAGGGTATGCATAAATTAAAGGAGTTGAACCGACACAAAATTATATAATAAAACTCATATTAAACAAAAATAGTTTTTTCTCGAAAACAGTTCATTTTATTGATATCAACCAAGGGTGCTTTTTTAGATTAAGGTTCAAGCTATCTACATATATTATTTTTGTGCCTTTATCGTAAAAAGTGTAAAAAAATTGACATTATTGTCCTACAGCTAGTCCGTCCCTGGCAAACCAAATAAGTCAAATTGTTTCATGGGTCAATTTTTAAGGAGTTTTATCTGTTGTCCATCGTATTAAAAAATAATTAAATTACACTAAGTATTTTAAAAATTATAAAAAAAATCGATTTTCAGGGGCGTCCTTTCGGACCTCTAGAGAAAATTTGTATAGGAACTTGTCATGTTATTTTAACGTCCCCTGTATAAATCCGAGAGATTGCCCACATATTCTGGGACACCCGGTATACAAATTTTTTCGAAAATCCCTTTTAAGGAAAACGTTTTTTTTTTGAGATATCTTGGAAGATTTTCGAGATATCTTATTCATATTTTAAACGTAGACTTGGGATCTTCGGACACTAATTTATGCTGCACCTGTTTTTGACGGTTCAAAAAACATTGAAACGCCCTGTAGTGTTCCGTGAGTGCCGAACAGAAGTAACCAGCGTCATCCGTCGGCGGAACGGTCTCGGGGGCATTCTTTTGGTGAAATCCGCCGTCGGACGATCGAGGGAGCCTTGCCTGACCTAATTCAAACATGTCGCGGACCGAACGGCCAGTCTTCGACTCGGTGGCGTGAGAGACGGTTGTTTTGTTACGCTTCTAAATGCGCCTTATTCGCGTGAACATCTCGAAATACGACATTCGCGCCTCTCTGGAAACCTTCTCCAAATACCCATGCGTGCTCCTTCTCGAATAAATACATAGTAACCCAAATAAGTGTTCTACATTACAAATCTACTCCCAATCATTTGGAATATATATATTTTTTTCAAACAGGTAAGTCACTTTCGCCTTAAAAATTAGTTTTTTAATCAACGTGGAGGTTTTTATTCCAACGGTTTCTTTGTGCGCTCACTCGCCTTTTTCAACGCTGTACGCGCCAAAAAAGAATCCAGTGTGCGTTAATTTATACTCACGGCTCACAGTTAACCGCGATTAACTGTTCAGATACAGTTTAACCTAAATTTAAACTTAATAACTGACCGTTGCCCGCCGCGATTTTTTTTATTTCTAACGGTTCTCATCAAATAACAAGACGATACGCACCGTCGAAAAGAAGATTGTAATTTTATTCGCGCTAGTGTGATATGATATACAATTAAAGTATATTTTTACGTGTTTAATCTCGATTAGAACAAAAATAGCATATGAGGAAGTTTTAAGTAAGGACAACTTGCACTGTAACGCATTGTATATAAAAGATGGTAATTTCGGAAGTAGATTTGCACTTCTTTGCATTTAATTCATTGGTTAATAATTTGGTAGTGCTGTTGTTTTGACTAACATTACTACGTTCGAGCTGATAACCAAGCAATTTTATCTTCATTATTGTGAAAATAATTGATCAATTGGGCAAATTTATTTGAAATTTCGATATGTTTTATTTTTCCTAAAGATAATAACTGCCAAAGAATAAATATAATACACAATTGATAAGAAGCATAAACGTAAACAAAATATTTGTTTGCAATGTTGAATGAGATATTCGGTGATATGATGACGTGCTCAGTCTTTCTTTCCTCCGATAAAGTCACCTCTGGAGAAAATAAATGCACATAAATACTTTCGACGAATTTTAACACTGAGCGGAAATTCCAGCATTGCCAACACGCCTACATAAAAATTCTAATACACTTTTTTTCGCGCAAACAATTTTTAGTTGCTAAATGTCGAAGCCAACGCATATTTTTGTAATGTCACGTGTTCTTGGTGAGATGACATCCTGGACATCCTCTTTAAGAAGTGAAATACTTTTTACGTAACTTCTTGTTTCTGAATAGAAAAAATACGACAACTATAACTAGGGTTGCCAGATTTATTTCATGACTGACCCGGAGAAATTCATGGCTAAAAAAAAAGGTCTTTAGAAAATCTAGGAATGAAATTGTTTACGAAGAAGATGAGCTCTAAAAAAAAAAAAGATATATATAATCCTAAGTTTTGCAATTGACTGGAGGAAATGGATTTCGAGGGTGGGTAGGGTGTTAACCCGGAGAAATGACATGTTAACCCGGAGCCCGAAGATGTACCATCAAAACCCGAAGACTCCTCCGGGTCAAACCCGGAGATCTGGCAAGCCTAACTATAACATAAACGATGACGGAAGAGTAGACACTTCCCTTTTAAAATCGATGTTCCCAGAACTCTCACAAAGAAAATTCTAGAGTAACGACACATCTAATTTTTTTATAACTCTTCGTTAATAATAATAATCGTTTATGCAGACAGTAAAACAAAGGATCTGTTTAAAAATTCTCGGCCGGTTAATCCCGGAAGTGCTAACCTTAACAAAGACGTAAGGTTAACGCGGTCACTCGGTTTTATGTAGTCACAAGAGTACGATCTCTACGCCATTCACTTGTTGAATTTGTACGAGATCTCACAACTAACTTCTCAGTTTTAGAATAATAGTTTTTATAACAAAAAAAATTTATCTGTGGGCACAAATAACTTTGCTTTTCCGACTCAGGCTGAACTGCGCGAGATTGAGAAATAACGCATTTGGATAGAAGGAATAGGATATAGACGTAACGATTTGACTTAGGAACGTTCCCCTTGCTGTGTTTAGTACCCATTTGTGGGCGTAGCTAGCTCAGACGCAACCTTATTCGTATCGGTCTGTACCTACAACTGGACAAATCATTTGAGCCCTGATATAAGCAAAAGGATAACTATTGTTATAGAATGAGACGGAAATGCAGAAAATAGATGATAAATCTCAAGCCTCAAATGAGTTTAGTTTACCTTGTAGAGGAGTGTCTCAAAATTGACGCTTTTAAAGTTTGATACGAACAGTATTAAGAAACAAGACATTGTCCACATATGTAACAAATACGAATCATCTGTAACATAACGTCGATTCTATTAACGCTATAGCATCTATTTGATGGACGATAGAAACAATAAGAAGTTCATGAGATTCAAATTGATGATCTAGGATGCCATGGCATCCAATCCACCTCTTAGGAATTTTTCCCTGGCTTGGAAGAGGTGGACCAATACCATGGCCTCCTAGACCAGCAGATCTGAATTTGATAAACTTTGTCTTGGCGTAGGAGGGACCAATTTACTTTCATAATATTAAAACAATAATAATATTTTTTATCACCCTGCCCAAAGAACATTACAGATTTTTTTACTACTATCTTGACATTTGAACTAGTTTGTAAATCCACAAGAATCACGTTCTTGGCCTTGCCAAAGGGAACCAGTTCCTCGCTAGCTTCCAAACAAGACACAATCCGAAAAGTGTCACATCCTCGGTTTTTCCAAGAACAGAGAGAATAGCGAGTAAATGGCGATTCTCAGTTTAAAAGTGTGACAAAGTGTTGACCCAAAAACCTACCAAAAAGAGAGCTTTCCATCTCTTGAAGTCGTAAACAGAACTTTATACAATTAGTAGGTATGTCTTACGTATAATTCTGAGTAACATTACTTTATTTCTCAGTTTAAATAAAAAGCTCAACAATATATTATAGATTATATTCTATTATTTTCTTTGGGCAGCTAAAATTGCATAAATCAAACTTTGGTGAGTGATAGAACTTATAAGGTCCGGAAATGCTTAGTTTCTGAATTACAAGAAATTATTCAAAACATCGTTATTAATTAATCTGCGGTTATTGCATTTTATTTTTTGTTTCTTGCGTTCTTTGTTTTAATTTAAACTTCACTCACAGCAAGTAAATTTCCAGACCCTGAAATCGTACAGATGTACTCATTGTCATTCAAAAGAAAGTACAAACGAGGATAGGCAGGCATGAGTCAGTCAAAAAAACCGTTCAACTCGATGTCTTCTGCATCGCCAATCCAGGATGTTGAATGTTCCATTTGCAGAAAGGTTCAGCATCCTTAAAATTATTCTACGAAACTATTGTATATTTTGTTTCTTGGAACACTTAACGGAAATACGAAATGTAAACATGAGTGTGACTATCTTAATCCTGATAATGAACTTGAACTTGAAGGCATTGAACTTTTCTTCATTCAGACCACGGTGCTGAGGCTGAATGAAACCTAAAAGGGAGCTCGCGTACTTTTCATTGTTATAATATAAACTATGTGGAGATATGAAAAAATAACTACAATATTTTACGTCTTTGACCTTTTATGGTTTAAGTTCTCATAAAAGCATTGAAATTTTGCAGGAATTTTTATGATGTGTTCGTTTAGTAACAAGATACTTATTTTAACGATGTAGACGAAAACCAAACAAATGAAATCTTGTTTTTTGTACGTTTTGATGAGAGAATTCTCTAATCGCGTCCTATATGTTTGTTTGACATCCTGTTATATAAGTTATATAATATTTATTCATTTTAAAAGACAAGGCTCAACAGTGTGGGGAGAAAGTTTTTGAGTTATTATGATGGCAGTGATGAGAAATGAAAATATGAAATTGTGGCAGGTTCTCGTCGTGACAGACAAATATAATAATAGCTATGAGGACAATGAAATATAAAGGAACTAGCTGGGTCAAGTAGCTGGCATAGGGCTGTGCACCTTGATTTTCCCCACGTGCCCATTGTTCCTCACTTCAGAAGTAAAAAATGGTTACTTTCTAAATTAAGGTTGCGCAACAATATGGAAGCACTAAGTAGTATTTGGCGTGTTAGTGTAGGGACAGAGAGGTGATTACAATTATTATTAAGAGAATGATATCTTGGACAAATTTGAAATGTTTTATTTTTGAAATAAGTTTATATAGTATAGGTTTTAAAAGATAATCTATTATGCATCATTAAAAGCATAAAGGCATTAAAATCTACCAAATGGTCTTTAATTATTACTTTGTTTAATTTATGAGATATGTATATTAAAAATAATATTTTTTAGGATTTTAACGGAAAATTTGACTACAAACTATTATTATGAAACATTTTTTGAGAAAAAGTTAAAATTATCAACCTCGAACAAAAGTATTCTCATTAGTTTTAATTTATTTGTTTTATTATTAACATGCTAGCCAAGATTCTATTAATATTTTATTTACATTTTCTACATGTAGTAAATTTTTAATTAAAAAATATGCAAAAACTGCTTGGATTGAAGGTTATCGCAAAATTACCGTAAATTTTAAAATCGCAATGCACAGACCACTTGATTTTCTCGAGGTCAGCGCATCTATGACGATAAACAAATCTAACTATCTTAATTTATCTATTTCTTTTTTATCTTTGAAGATTAAAATGTTCTTTAATGTTTAGCATATTCTTCGTTCTTACCAGTGCCTGATTTACCTATAGGCTGGTGTAGGCTGCAGCCCACAGGCCCCTACCAACTAGGGGCCCCCACCATGTTAACATATTTTTTTATGAAAACTAATTTTTTTAAGATTTTTTTTAAGACCTCACCATGAACAAGACACTACAAATGCTATCGAAGATTTTGCTACAATAAAAGCTAGAAATATTGTTATATAATATTAATCGTATCAATAATCAATAAAGTTTTTAACTATTATACTATGATATCTTAATTGTAGCATGGTGATTGCACGTTATTCTTTATTATAAGTTTTTTAAGTTTATTTATCGTATGGGTAGCAAAATTAAAGCTATTTTTAACCTTGCGTCCCTCTAGAAAACTGGTTTTAAAATAACGTGTTTATATTAAGTGTTTTTTTATTTTCCCAGTAATAATTTTTTTTAAGCCAATTTTACTACTTTTATTTAATTAATTTTTTTTTTGGATGGGGGCTACCAAAAAGGATATATTTTTTCTAGAATAGGCCCCCACCAATTTTCAGCCTACAGGCCCCCACCACTGTAAATCAAGCACTGACGACGGTGACAACATTTTTAACATTAAATCGATGTTTTGCATTGTATTATCTATGCCCTCTCCAAATTTGGTTTAGTGCAACTCTCTCGGTTTCCAGAATACAATACCTATGTATGCTTTCAGCCACGAAAATTGAATAATTCCAAATATTTCGAATTTTCGCCCCCAAGAACGACGACTTCTTACAATCCACAATATCCTTAAAAAAAAATTGCATTTTTTGTAAAAATCGCCCGCAAAATGTTTCGTCCATGGCCACCTTTACTTATTAAAAAGTAGTGTGCGATGAAAGTAAGGAATCATTTCGTTATTATTGGTCATGGCCAGATTCAAATGTTTATTTTCTATTGCACCGCCGCCTATTCACTATTATTTCAACTTCGTTGATTGCTGGGTTTCACTTCGAGCTTTGCTCGTAATAAGTAATAATTACGAGTAATGAGATGTAAAAGAAAACCAGCCATCGGGAGAAATGAGAAATGCGGCGTCAGCCTCTACAATATTTAAGGGTTTAGTATTGTTCTGATTAATGCGGAAACTAGAATTGTTTATTTTCCACATATTTTTTGTTCACAGGAGTGGGAATAAATTCAGTCTACTGGACTTCATGCTGATATATTTTATATACATTTCTATGGAATTATTGATATATGAGTTTATTTTCGACAGATATAACCTCAATTTCTACTCAACAATCAAACTGTATCTTATATCAATATTTTAACAAACTGTACTGTGACAATTAATAGAATTTGTAACAATACTTCTTTGTTTAGTTACAAGATAAATAAATTATATTTTATACTACAAAAAGTAAAAAAATAATTGTCAAATTCATATTGGCCCAAAATCTGATTCAATTATTAATTTATTTTTACCAAAAAAAGTAAATCGACGTTATTTAAGGGTATTGAAATATACATTATAAACAAATACAGGCCTAATGGTATTGAAATATGCGCCATTTGTGCGGGACAATGTTGCCAACGAAAAAGAAAGACAGCATCATAGCTGATAGTTTAGGGTTAAATGAAAAATTAAAAATAGAGCGCTGTACGAAATAGTGACGCATTTGGCAGTTACAGATTGGAATATTCATACAAAATATGGTCCGAATAGTGATCAATTAATGGTCTTTAACACTCTGGTCGTCCTTCAACAACTCGTTCAGAACAATAACAGACAACATCGAAGCAGTTCGTGAGAGTGTTGCTGAGAGTCCAGGAACATCAATAATCCGGCATTATGATCAAGAATTGGACATTGGGTACGTGAAGCCCTCTACAGCGTATTCTCACGAAAGATTTACATCTTCATCAATTGATTGAAGAACTGAAACCTACTGACCACGCAGAATGAAGAGAGTTCGTTGAATGAATTGTTATCGACAAAACTGTTGCATTTGGGGTTCAGAAAATCCACGAGTGATTGTGGAGAAACAAATGCATCCACAGCGTGTCACTGTTTGGTGCGGATTTTGGACTGGATGCATCATAGGTCCATTCTTCTTCAAAAATGTGCTCGCTATCGCGACATGATAATCAAGTTTTTGTAACGAAATTGCAAGATATTGATGTAGACGACGTGTGGTTGCAACAAAACGGTGCCACATGCCACACAGCCCGAGAAACAATTCAGTTAATGGGATACTCTATATTAAATTATGGAGTGTTGCTTGAAAATGCCTTTGTATTATTTTATTTTATGTAAAAATTTAATGTCTTTGTACGATATATGTGTCTATCTCGACACTGATTTTAACAGTAGATTAAATGAACTAAAAAATACTTTTGTTGATAAGTTACGATGCTTGCAACCACGTAAACTAGGCTTTAGACAATTTATACTGTGGCACAATTTATTCTCGACCTTATATCTTGTTCATTTTTCACCCGGTGGTGCCTTGTCTTTCGATAAAGCAGCGTGTTCTATCTTACTTTGTAACACGACCTAAATCGCGTTTGTCTTATATCTTTATGTCTACGTTTCACCTTTGTTTCCATATTTTATTATTAAGACCTGGCGATTTCTACCTACGGGATTATTCCGATCCAGTACAGACACATAAAGGGTTGTGCTGAAAGATTTATTATTTAACGACTGGATCTCTCACTGCTCGTGACAGTTTTACAATATTAGTGAGATAAATGTGTGTTGTTTAATATGTAGATTGAAAAACAGTAAGATTTCTATAGATAAATTATGACGTTTGTAAACATTTATTTAATCAATTTGGAAATTTCAGTGTTACGTTCAATTACTACCGAGAATTTGTGCGAAAGACATCAACGCAGCTGTGACAATTTAAAGCAATATCCATTAATCACATTTATTTCTTATTGTCAGTAGTGGTATGAGGAAATCCATTATTTGCACATACTATTGACCTATTCGTAGAAGGTTAGACACTTGTAAGGCACTTGCTATGTATTTTGCATGTATTTTGTATTTAACATTATTATAAACATGATACAACCGTAAAAACTAGTCGAACTGAACATACAGGGCGAGTCATAAATAGGTGTCAAAATCGACATATCAAAATAAAGCTACTAAATCTATACCAAAGTATTAAATAGTTCCTTAAAAAATTACGTACATTCAAAAAAATATATATTATTATTTTTTGTGTAACTCACTTTTTATGATATTTCGGTGCAATTACGGATGTAAATAAGCTCATTTTTTTTTCTAATAGCTAAAACGCTTTAAACACTTTTGTTTTTTGCTATAAGTATATTTTCTGTTAGTAGAGATTTTGACAGAACGAAAAAAATTAATTTTAATTTTCTAGAGCAGTTATCGATAACGAACACAGTATTTGGATGTATTTCATAAAATATTCATAAATGATTTCAAGCCACGTGGCCAGTAGTTTTGCTTGAAACAGTAACTTCAGAATTTTGTCAATTTGTAAAGTTGTGTATATAAGGAAAGCGTAACAAATGAGACTCAAACTTTATGAAATATCAGTAAATTATCCCCTAATCTAATTTAGAGCTTAGACAACACGTAAAGTTCTCATCCGCGTCTTGTTTTGTTCTCTGCAAAGCGGCAACAGCGCCACTGACTGATGGTGATAATTCTTTAACAGAGCAAATTTACTCAATTGGCTAATTCATTTTTTAAGTACTGTTTGTTGTTATACTCACATTAAAGGTGATGCCCATGTTCTAGACTAAAATGCATTTAAAAGGTTATCGGTATATAAAATTAATAATTAGCCAATAGCCTAGAAAGTCGTAAGTCAAAACGTCGCTGCATCCTGACCGGAAAACATACTTTTGCATTCATTTAGATGCCAATCGAACTATTTTGTGCCATCACAAAAGATGCAAAGCTTCCCGTTTCCGAGTCCATTGTAATCAGAAAGTTAGTCACATCCTGTTTCCTTAAACTCACCATCCATTGCAATTACAAAAGATTTGTCTAGTTCGGAATTAATCTGGATTAATTTTGTTGTATTGTCAAAGGTCAACCACGTTATTTCAACAAGCTCGTATTATTATCAGTATCACTCTTTCTGCAAAAGGATTGAGATATTATTCAATCATGTTGCTTGTTTATTATTATTATTATTATTTATTATTTATACGACACCGGGGTATTAAATATTGAGGCAAACTTTCTTTTATTTGCACGTAAGTTTGCTTTAAAGTTTTGACATTGTTCATATCGTTTTCGTTCACTACTAACCTACATAATATGTATATGTTTAAATACAACGCGTTTTATGTGACTGCGATAATAAATGATCTCGACAAATACGGAACTAAATCCGCAGCTGCACTTTGTAAAAGTGCTATACAGGGTGTCCTTTAATTTGACTGCCAAACCTCTATAAATTATTTTTAATCAAAATTAACTGAAAATGTTCAGATGAATTAGTTTGATTTCATTTGAAGCTATGTATAACAGCTTGAAATGTTTGGTTATAGGCATAAATACGCCCCCCCCCCCCTTATAAATAGTTAATTGTAGCGTTTAAGAGATGTTTATTTGCCTCCTTTAACGTTTTTTTTCAAACATGTCCAGAAAAAATTTAAGCTTTTTCCAACAATTAATATTTAATAATAAATAGTTTCACTTTGACGAACACCTATTTTCACTAGTTGTCGTAGCAAGCCGCTCTTTTATTGTTGGCTATGGCTTTTTATGTTAATTGATTGTTTAAAATTTCTAACAACTGTTAACCGAGTTATTATAATACTTTCTACGGATTTAAAATACATGGCGTTAGTTACATGAGGTATGAGGTTAACAATATTTTCCTTGTAACTAGATTTTGTTTCTTCAGGTTTCACCAGCATGTTTATACTCTTTACACAGTACACAGTATACTTTTGTCGTAAAATTTTGTCTTTTTTGATAAGCATAATTTAAATAACCGGTATACATTTTTCTAAAAACTTTTTTTACTTGTTGGTTCACACAAATCTCGAAATAAATATACGATTCAATGTATATTTCCGACAAAATAAGCATGCCTAACTGTATTGACTATAATAAACCTCAGTGAGTTCGATCACCTTCCAAATTCCATTAACGGTATCAGTTTGCTAATATACTTTCCTCTTTTGCAGATTATTATGTTAAATAAGTGCCTTTTCTTCGCAATATGTGGGTTTTGCAACATAATAAGCATTCAAGGTGAGTTTTCCTTTTGAATTAATCGAAACAATGTACTGAATACACTATTGTAAAATGTACATTTAATTCGCAGTTTTCTATTTGCATAGAATGCAGCAAGAAGTAAACATATAAGGCCATATTTCAAGGTCACAATGTCAATTTCAAATAGTAAACAATAATTTTCACTCTTTTTTTAGCTCATCCCGTGACTATAAACGCGGAAATAGAAATAGTAACGGAAAGAGAAAACCTCCGTCGGACAGATGACGAATTCCGCGACGACTGGGATTTTGACAAGCTAGAACACAACCAAGTCCCAGTATTAACTTCGATAATTAGGAACCACACCCTTCCACCGACTGCCAATGGCACTGTAAGTAGGTATTGATTTTGGATTCCACAGTTTTAATGATTTCATCGTTATTTTTGTCATCATCGTCATTTGATCGTTCTAGGCTAGATTGCTATGGGAGCTGGATCAAGAAAAATCCACGCACTTGCCTCAATTCGTGGACAAGGCCCTGAAACTTCTAAATCTGAAGCAAGTTGCTTTCGAAATTGAGAATTCGGTCATGTCGAAAGTTTCATGCACAGCATGTAGAGCAGGTGAATAGAATGTTAATAAATTTAGTTCTGTTAGAACTAAATTTATTAACAGTTCAGACCTAGAAAATACTGATTATTTAGTGTTTTCTAAAGAATGATGACTGATGTGTTGAATTTTCAGGCGCCGGTCTCCTCCAACATTACACGCGCATTGGAAAATCAGACAAAGAGATTAAGAAGACGATCTACCAGTTTTGCGTCAATTTGAAAATTCAATCACCCAGAGTATGTGAAGGTATAACGGAGCTCTTTGCTGGCGAAGTTATCTACGTCTTGAGCAAAGTCAAAATTGGTGAGTATAAAGAGAGATGCAACATCATCCAAAATTAAAAAAAATAAATAGGTAGCCACCTCGACTACCTGATTTAATGTCGCTAAATTGAACTGCTCTGAAACTTCCTTTCATAATAAATATCCTCACTTTCTGAAATAAAATCAAGCATCAAAGATATGTTACTAATAATATTAAATTCCTTTTCTAATTGTTGTTAAGGGCCAGACGAAATCTGCAGCTTCGTCATCGGAGATGCTTGCGGGGATATATACAACCCTTACCACGAGTGGGAAGTGATGTTCCCACCAGTGACGAAACCTACTGTTGTCGATCCCAAAGTACCAGAGGCAAGTTATGTTCCAAAAATGCATTATAATTATTATTACCATCGTCATTATTTAGGTTAACGCCCCCAGCTTCAAAGTACTCCACCTGTCCGACACGCATTACGACCCCTACTACATAGAGGGTGGAAACGCGGACTGTTCAGAACCCCTCTGCTGCAGACTGACCAACGGGCCAGCTGCTACCAAAGATAAAGCTGCTGGAAAGTAAGAATAGTCTAAATACCACCAAAAATTTTTAGTAAGTTTTAATAATTTCGCAGGTGGGGAGATTACAGGAAATGCGACACTCCCAAGATCACTGTGGACAATATGTTGCAACATATCCAAGAAACCCACCCGGTAAGAGCCACTACTGATAAAATTTTATTTTAAGGATTATTCGTGTTTTGAAATAGTTTACGATTTTGTTCAATCAATTAAATTGATTGTGCTATAACAATATTCGCTTAGTTCGCAAGGTACAAGGGTTGACGTTCGATCTCGATGCTAGGTGGGTCACCAGAGGTCCTGTAGTAAAGTTCGCCTTAAGTTTGGACAATTGGTCTCTTTGGATTTTACTCATCTTTGGATTGTAGTCGTCTGGAATGGGTTCGGTTTCCTAATTCGAATCTCGCATTTTTTGGAGATTTTTTTTCCGAAATTGAGATGAATTTTCTATTTCTGCAGCGCGTCGTCGGCGGCTGCTCTGCTGACACCATCCGCCACCGGCGGTGTCGTCTCCTGCGGCTTTGGTGTTTGCGAGCGTCTAGGAACTTCGTCGAAAATTTTCGATTTGTTGTATATGGACTGTGCTCGTCATCAGTAACAGCAACTTTTCAAAACACAACACTAGGGGATCTGCGCTAACATGTAAATTGTTTGGTATAGACAAATATTATATTAATTATCCTTTTTTGCACCAGGGTCTTCAAATCTGCGTCTATGCTATTCATTTACGAGTTTACTAAAAAAATAATTAATACATTTAAAACAATAAGCGTAAGCGCTTAATTCGATATGTCATATTATTCCTAAAATGTTTCATAACCGTCAAAAAATAGAGCCAATTTATAGATATATATTTATACTGGGTGCTGTTTTAGGATATCGATTATATAATTTGGACGGGAGATTTACCACCACACGACATTTGGAACCAGACGAGAGAAGAGAATCTGAAGATACTGAAGGACACTGTAAAACAGATGTCCGACATGTTCCCTGGAGCCCCCATATTCCCAGCTCTCGGTAACCACGAATCGGCACCAGTAAACAGGTAAACCATGATTTTAATTTTTCCCAAACTTAAAGTCCACAAATAATCTTCGTTCTTTCCCGTTGAAGTAAACATGCATTTTAATAGACCATTCGTTAAATATGCTCCAGTTTTCCTCCACCATTCGTAGACAGTCCTGACAGCTCCATAGCTTGGCTCTACGACGAGCTGGATGTCCAATGGAGGAAATGGCTGCCGAGCTCCGTCAGCAATACCGTCAGAAGAGGCGCCTTCTACTCTGTGCTGGTCAGACCTGGCTTCAGGCTGATCTCTCTCAACATGAACTACTGCAACAACAAAAATTGGCAAGTCGATGCAGGTGTTTGAATGCTATGTGATGCTAAATGTGACGTTTTATAGGTGGCTCTTGTTGAACAGTACGGATCCTGCCACGGAACTACAGTGGTTCATCTACGAGTTGCAGTCGGCCGAGTTTAATGGAGAAAAAGTACACGTTATAGGTAAAGCATTAATAACACAGCGCCACAAAGTAAAAGTAGAACCAGACCAGTGCACCCCATAGTGTTTTTACCAACTGGGGTCAACAGTGGTTTTTCCAATCTCTGACTGCTCAAGTCGTTTTCAAATCTCGAAAACCGCTTTCTACAGCCTTCACTGATCTAGACCACAGTTTCTTTTTTGTGGTGCTATCTCCATCTACTAACACTCTACTTCAAATATTAATCTAGCAGATTCAACTTTATAAAAAAAATGTTTAGGTCATATTCCTCCGGGACATTCTGACTGCCTGAAGGTTTGGTCCAGGAATTACTATGCCATCATAAACAGATATGAATCGACGATTACAGCCCAGTTCTTCGGACATACGCATTATGATGAATTTGAAGTTTTTTATGACCACAAAGATATCAGTAAGTTCACAAAGATGTTGAATCGAAGTTACTACATAATTTTTTGTTTTAGGCAGACCTATAAGTATAGCCTATGTCGGACCGTCGGTGACTCCATACTATGATCTTAATCCAGGATACAGGATTTACTATGTAGATGGCGATCATGACAAATCTACTAGGGTATACATATAACTTTAATTTATGATAAAAATGCCCACTTTTTACATCTGTATTAGTATTAGTTATACCTTGAAGGTCATATTGAGTCTATAATTTGATTTTGACCATCGTATTTCAAGCTTACAAAGTATTTCAATATGGGTTAGATATAATTAACAAAATATATGTCATACCTTAAATGTAACTGTTACTCCATACCTACTGACCTACCAATCTATAAAAGTATTTTGCAAAAGCCGAAATAAACTTTTTAATTTATGATATTGTGGGAAACAATGAGCTACATCCTTTATCCAACATTGAATTACACACACAATACCTAGTAAACGGTTAAGATCCTTTGTTAAAGCACCTACAGATTAGTAGATCACTCTTTGCCAATAGGTACAAAGTAATGTTTTGAGTCAGAGAGCATTGAGTAGCAATGTAGGTAGATAGAAATTCAAATAACTTAAAAAAAATAAATATATTTTCATGAAAGAAATCCTCGAATTAGTGGATAAAAACAAGTGAACAGTGTGCAATCCTCATAAAACATATAAATTTTTTAAGGTGTGTCTCTTATTCATAGGCAATCGTCGACCATGAATCGTGGACGATGAATCTAAGAGAAGCAAATCTGTATGGGTATCCCATATGGTACAAGTTGTACTCCGCCAGAAAAGCGTTTGGTTTAGATGCCCTGAGACCTCAGGACTGGCATGACCTAGTGGAAAAAATGGCAAACGATCATAAACTCTTCGAACTATTTTTCGAGTAGGTTCATTAATATTGTTGAGTAAAAATTTGGAGGAATCCAAGCCACTAGTCTGTTAAAAATGAATAAATAAACATACTGTCATCTGACTATATCAATCATGACGCCAGATTATATTTTTCGCATTATTTTAGGTATTATTATAAGGCTAGCCCTGTGCGACCAGCATGTGACATGGCGTGCAAGAAAAAAATACTGTGCGATCTCCGTTCGGGAAGATCACATGACAGAAAAAACCTCTGCGAGACCATAGAATCCAGGATAGATTCCTCCGGCAGTACAACGTGGAAAGAGTGGTTATACAATACGATATCGGTGTCGTAAGTATTAAAAAAACAGGTTCTGAAATCATGAAATCACAATAGAATCTTAGAAATCATGAGATTACACTTGAAAATGTATATAGTGCTTTTATTTAGAAAAAAACACATGGGATACATTATCGCAAAATGTATATTAGTGATACTTTGCTTTCTTGAATAATCATTCCTGCTGTTGAAGCATATTTAAATTCCAATGAACTTGTATTCTAATATGTTCAAATTATTTTTACTTTTAATGAACTTTTTGAACAGAATGATAATGTATACTGATGTGGGGAACCTTAAAAATGCATGTCATAGATCTGCCACAAAGTTAAAGCTTTTTATATCAAATAATTCAAAAACAGAATTACATATTTCCTGCAAAGAAAAAATAAGGAAAGTGTAAACCACATGCCATTAATATTCCTATGGGGTTGGGTTCAACACTACTGCAAGCAGTTCTGTGCCTTTATGTACATAATTTTTCTACTAAATCTCTTTTCTTATAGCCAGGTGTAAGGTGTCAAACACAGCTTCACACACAAACTAAAAGTAAATCGGTAAGTAATTACACTAAGGACATAATGATGTAAATCTCTTTAAAAAAAAAGAACGAAATTATGAACAATGTAAAACTTCCTTGCAAACGAAACTTGGAACAATGCAAAGGAACATTGTTTGAGAGATTTACTTCTTTTTGCTGTAGTTTTTAAAAAAACATACATTACTTGCATGACATCCTCACCAGTTCACCACCTGACACAAAAAATAAAAAATATGTGAAATTTTCTACTTTTAACTAATTTCACTTACATATTAAAATTGCAAAGTTCATGTTATTTCTATTGTTGATAATCAGAAACTGATTTGAAATGCTGATTTCAGGATGTCCGTCATTATGTCAATCCCTAGGTTAACAATTCAACTACCAAAATACGTTTTGGGCCTCGGGTAGAAGTAACAGGACTTCTACCAGATCATCTGATCCTGTTTGGAATCATTTTTAGTCCATGTAACTTTAGTTTATAAAGGCGGATCTCCACTAAGTTTATAATATTCTTGTAATATCGATTTTAAATTGTCGATCAAGATTCTGCTTCTACAACTGAACTTATGTAGTTAGCATTTCATTTGGTTGAATTCAACAAGTGGTGGAGAATTGCCTTGAACAACCAAGAATCTCGATATAATTTTGAATATTGTGCATGTTAGTTTATGGTACTTTAATTTATAATATTATGTTTATTATTAGAAATGTGTATAATGTGTTTTAGATAATTGAAAGTTATATTGTAAGTAAGTTATTATAATTTAAGTTATTATTGTTAAATATCCCGCAAAATAACCATTCCTTGAACAAAAAAAGTTTTTTTGGGTTATTTTTTTAAATGTTTCTCATACGATTTAATTATTTTTATGGGGTAAATGATTAGCATATATGTAAATAAGGCTGTGTATTTCTGATGTATGAATCAAAATACCAACAATTAAATGTAATTACTATCTGTAATACTAATTTACTTCCATTCTCTAACATATTGTAGATAAATTTTGTTAAAAGGATGTTAGGATCGAACACTAGATATGTGACTAACTTATACTGCAATGGTGCTGTCAATTTTTATATGTAAATGTACAAAGTGATTTATATTTATATAATAAAAAGTTTGAAGGACCAAAGTGTTTTTATATACATTCAATTTCCTGCATGGCTGCATAAAAATGTCAAATTCTCCATAATTTAAAAGTTAATTCGACCTTCCCATAATGTAAATATGAATTGCAAGCAATATTCCTGGTTCATGTAGAATAAGTAAATATTTTATTCTAATTCATAAAAAAATTCGAAATTTGTATGACCCATGTCCTTTATATAAAAAAAAATGGATCAAGTAGTGATACGTTTAGAGGACAAATTTTTATTTTATACCTAGTCAACATGCAAGATACAACCACAAATACACATCGGTGTATTTGAGGTTGCATATCCTAAATTTTTTTACTAGTAATGACGTTCGAAAAAAATTGAATTAATCATTTATACATTATAAGTAAAAAAATGTCTTAAACATATCATAAAGCTATTAAGAAATATATATTTATAGGAATAATACAATTTTAAGAAAACAAATACAAACATATAATTCGCTTAATACAGTTTTAGTTATAATTTTACTGACCAGAGTTGCGCTCCTAAAGAAATTCTCGCCGCCGCTGACCTCAATTTAAAAAAAAATTGTCCTAAATAAAAAGTCACCGTGTTTAAATACTTAAAATTCCTACCTTCCAAACTACTTGGGTCTAGATGTTTTTCAATGTTGTTCAAGGTCCAGTTTTTGTAACTGCCGAATGTTGTTATTATAATATAAATTATCACACAGAGTTGATCTAAATAATAAACAAATATTTCTGTAACGGCAGAATTCAGTGCTAAGGTCACATATGTCGTTGTGTCACTGTAGATTATTCAACTTGGGCGACAATGACCAAAATGGGTTAAGTTTTTTTGTTTGGTATTGGTTTTACATAAAATTAAATTACGTGTGTGCACAATATGCACCGTATCTACGTTCTTGCATTTTGAAATGTGAGATATTAAAAATATACTTATTGGAATGCAACATTTTCGGGTGGGATATAATTATTTATTGATTTTAGCAATAATTAAAGTCGGCTAAGTGAGGAACAGTGCATTTAAAATATGTTAAACTGAAAAGAGAAATGGGAGATGTTTTAAGGATATTGACCCGAAATTTGAAAAACGCTTTGGAGGAATAAATGTGCATTTTTTGGGGTGATCCGAATATTTCTACTTGCACCAGTAGCGTTCGTGCGAGAATGACACAACCTTTTTTAATAAAAAAATGGTACGCCACTGACTTTTTGCGGTTTTGATATTTTTTTAGAAATTCGCCATCAATTCTGAATGAAATTGGTCTCCTCAATTTTTTTCGTAAGATTCAATCCTTTCTCCAATCCTCCAACCATTTTTGAGGAAAAAATAAAACATATTTAAGTTGCGTATTTTTAATTTCTATTGATACATTATCTAGTACCTATAATAGGTTGCTAAATAAAATGCAACTATCAAATTTCGAGTCAATATGTTTAAAACTCGTTGAAATAATTTAAAAAAATAAATAAAAAATAAAATTTCTCGGAAATGAAGCATATTTCGACCTACTTTTTTTTTCACAAAATAACAAAACCACCCCCTAAAATATTTCGCACTTATTTACAAGCACCTTGTATAACCAATTGCAAGTGATCACTAAGAGTTTTTTTGTCTGAAAAATGTCTAGGGTTTTAGGTTATTATTAAATAGTATCATTTAATGCTAATTTCAGACCTATTTAAACTTGGAAACAAATGAAAATAATGCGAATTTGTACCTGGAAATGAACGGATTTAGCACCAATGTTCTTGATGAATTGACGAACAAAATTTGAAATCAAGCCACGACACTTTTTTCCTTTTAATGTCCAAAGTCTGTATCATTGAAGTGAATAGAAACGTTGTTTGTCAATTTTAAGATGCCATTTCAAACATTTTTTTAAATTTGTCAAAAATACCACGAGCTTTATTTAAAAAAAGTAAATTGTAAAAACCCTATTCATTATAGGGAAGAGGAAAACCTACAAACCGAATTAGCCAAAGTTTTATCTACCATCCTAGCTATTTTTTCTTATAAATAATGCTAGACTACGCCACTGGGATTTAAATATATTATCTCTGGGACTAACGAGGGACTAATGCAAATTTGTAACTGCTTTTGAATTTTAATGATGGCCAAAAGATCGTGAGAAAGATTAAGGAAGTTTATAATCAGTAAATATTGTAACAAGTATGGTTTATATTAGAGGGAATAAATGTTATACTTTGGTAAGATACTTGGGAAATTCCTAAAGTTCCGGTTACAGGAATTTACCTGAAGTATCTTGGAACTTCCTTTAAAATATACGTCAAGATTCTCTAGCAAATTGCTTATACCAAATAACCTTTTTCGTTCACAATGTCAGATATTCGCAGTCATAACTGACTAGCTTTTAATTTTTAAGACGAGCATATTTAAAATGAACTTAAAAGTGTACATAAAAAGAATGTATTTTACTTTTGAAACTCGTTAAAGTTACACAAAGAACTCCTTAATTTTCTTTCGTAAGATTTACCGTTGCTCGAGCTGTTTCTGATTGGTCCTGGGTTTGTTGCCACCGTAGAATTATCGATTTTGTAATTTCCAACACATTTTTTGCATACGTTTATCTTTCGCCTTGAGTCTAGACGTCTCACGACGACGAACTTGCATAACATTCGCACGGAATGCCAAATACGCCGACAGGTCCGTTTGATAAATGGTTTGTTTTCTGGACGAAGTTAGTTAGGCAAACGAGAATTGGAAGAAATGGGAGTCTTTTAAAAACAAAATGTGAAGAGAAGTTTCAGTAGGTAAATTGTGAGTTCAAATAATTCTAAAACGCTTTTTATGGTTTATATGAATGACACCCTTGAATTTATTGTATCAGCTGTCCCAAATTCATGCAAGATTTGAATTTTGCGCTATTTGTGTGGCAAAGTGTTGGCAACGAAAAAAAAAATAGTGTGACAAGTTACAGTTCCGAATTATTAAAAATGGAGCGCTACACGAAAGAACGCGTTTTCATTGTTGAGCAATATTTTTCAAGTAATGAAGGTTTGCCAGCTACAGTTCGCAATTTTCGTACAAAATATGGTCGGAATAGTGATCTAACTTCATCAACTGTGAAGAGACTCATTGAAAAAATTCACTCTGGCGGTCCTTCAACGAGTCGTTCAACACAAAACAACGAAGCAATTCGTGAGAGAGTGTTGCTGAGAGTGCAAGAACGTCAATTCAGCACCGTGGTCAAAAATTGAGCATTTTATGAAGCTTCTTGCAGCACATTCTCACGTAACATTTACATCTTCATGCTTACAAAGTTCAATTGAGTCCAGAACTGAAGCCTACTGACCACACAAAGAGAAGAGTTCGTTGAATGGATGCTGATTTTTTGAACAAAATCATCTTCAGCGATGAGGCTCATTTTCATCCTGATAGCTTCGTTAATCAACAATCGCATTTGGAGTTCAAGAAATCCACAAGTGGTTGTTGAAAAATAAATGCAATTATAATAAGTCACTGATTGGTGTGAATTTTGCGCTGGAGGCATCATGGGACCATTCTTCTTCTAAAATGTGCCTGGTCGGGCAATAACAGTTAATGGTGCTCGCGATCGCGACAGGATAATCCGTTTTTTTGTACCTAAATTGCTAAATATGGATGTAGACGCCATGTGGTTTCAACAAGACGGTGCCATACAGTCCGAAAAACAATTCAATTACTGCACGAATCGTTTCCTGGTCGTGTAATTTCCCGTTTTGGTGATCAGAATTGGCCGCCCAGATCATGCGATTTAATGCCGTTGGACTTTTTTCTTTGAGTTTCTTGGTTTTTTGAAGTCTAAGGTATATGTCAACATGCCCACGACCACCACGTCTTGAAGAAGGAAATAGAGCGCTTTATCAACGAAATTCAGCTTCATTTATACAAAATGGTTATGGAAAATTTCGACAAAAGGGTTCGTACGTGCCAGCAAAGTCATGGAGGCCATTTGCCCTTTATAAATCAATAAAAAATGTACAATTTTTAATTAAAAACCTGTGCTTTCTATCCAAATTATTCCTTTCGTGAATTTTGAACCACTTTTTAAAACTGTATAGCTATGTTGTACTAAAAGGTCATCTTCAATTGCTTATATCAAGAAAATGGATATATTTTACAAGATATACATTATCTTTCATATTCTTCGAACTATGAAACAAAACACCACTTTTATATACTGAGTAAACCATTTTGAGGTCTTTTCCCCATGAAATTTGATATACATATGCAAGCATAAGCTTTACCCCTTTATGCACAGCGAATATGTTTGGTTTGATGTCATCAGAGAACAAACAACTTATAGGCCAGTCAATAGAGCAAAGTCATATCTTGACAAAAATACAGCATACCACCTGTGTCATCATTTAAAAGGCAGTCCGTAGATACACTCTGATGTGTTTTCGTATTAATTAATTTGTTATTAACATTTTAGTGCAAAAAACGCGTTGTTTTTAGTTTTTCGCTTATAAAACCAAAACTACTAGGGCGATCTCAATTCCGTAATGGGAAAAGTTGTAGCAAATTAAATTTCGAAGAAAATGAGAGGTCATGCGATTCGATAAGTTGATTAGAACCGGAGAAAATCCGGAAAAACCGGAAAATTCGGCAAAAATTCATAACTTTGTCATTTATGAAGATTAAGAGCTGAAATTTGGCACGGAAGTAGATAATTATATCAACTTTAAGAGTGAAAAAGGCAGGCGCTGTCCGACTATTAGTTTTTGTGCAATTGCAATATCAAAATTTTATGCATTTTTTTGCCGGGAGTCTGCTTGCGTTAAAAATGTCCGATTTTAATTCTAATACCGGTTTTCAAAACTAGAAGTAAAATACTATAAAACGTATGGATGTAGTGGATGAAACATGTTGAATATCGGTGTAAACCGCAGAGCCTGCGAGTAGTGGGGGAAGGAGGGGAAGCGCTCAAATGCCCTCTCATTTTCTTCGAAATTTAATTTCCTTTCCACTTACTGAATTGAAATTGCTCTAGTAGTTTT